ATTTTCATAATGAAACCTGATGAAGCATACTGGCATGCTATATGAAGTGGCGTTGCACCAAAACGATTTCTTTTTTGAAATAATTCCCTTTTATGATTATTATAAAGATACACTAGAAGCTCTACACTATCACTCATAGCACAATAATGTACTATTCCACATCCGGTAAAATTTATGTCATCTTCTGAGAAAATACCAAACTGCTTAAGCTGATCAACTAATGCTACCTCTCCACTCTTACATGCTAATAATGATAAAGTCGATCCTTCTCTATTCACCTGAGACACGTTACACTTCTTCTTTAAAAACATAATCACGAGGTCAACGTGACCACCCAGTGCTGAGTAAAGCAATCCCGTGTTACCAGAGCTATCTGCTATGTCTGGATCAACGTGACATTCATTAACTAGATACTGTGCAATATTGAGATGGCCTTTATATGAGGCCATGTGTAAACTAATAACACCATCATCATCACCTTGAGAAGGATCGCTATGATAAACATCAATGAGGAGACAGAGGACATCAATGTGGCCACCATATGAAGCAGCTAATGGTGGACTCCATCCATTTTTACCTCTTTCCTGAAGGCCAGTCTTGTCAATCAATCGTTGTACTTCATCTTTTAATCCTCTCCAACATGCTTCATTCAATGGAGTGCTGGTATTCTCATACCAGAGAGGATCATAAATATCTATATCATGTAGCATAAACAAAGTTAATAATAATAATAATTACCAATAGGAGAATCATGAAGCTTCTTTAATTCATTTTCTGGCAACTATAATTATAAAAAAGAATATAATTATGTATCATAATACTATTTATTAAAATACCTGCTTCATTTGATGTACATAATCATGACAAGTAATTTTTATGATTCCGATCTCAGCCAATGAATGACACTGTTGATTGGTTAATGGAAAAAGAACAGAATAAAGAAAATCAGGAATGGAATATTTTAATTCCATGCAACCATCGTCAATTGTACAAAAGTAGAATTTATATTGAGGAACTTCAAGTGCATCAGCGATTAGCTTGTGAAAGAAATATAAATCATTTAATGTGTAGTCATCTCTGGCAACCTTAGCAATCATTACTTTAGTGCCTGGAACATCAGAAAGACCAAATTCAATTGAGTCTGCAATTTGAACTGCTTGAGTATTGTTATTTTTTAAATAATCTTTTAATTTCTCACGATATGTAGACCACTTCCTCTGTAAATCTCTCTCATCAGTAATGAAAGTATTGACTAACTTGACGACAAGTTCAAAATTGAACCACGAGACGTGCCTTCTTAATTCTTTAAACAGCTGATCCATTGTCTTAACATGTTCAAACTCTTTTTGAATCAAATCAATCATTTGTGGTTTTTGGAAACGTGGACTAAGTAAAAGTTCAATATAATCTTCAACAAAATCAATAACTTCTGAGACATCAATAGAATGAAAAGACTTTTTAGTAAAACGCATATTATCAAGGAAAATTTCTTTTAGTTCTCCAATCATTGTTAGGTTTTCAGGTGAATATTTGATTGATTTCTTTCTAACGTAAAAGACTGAAGACTCAGATTGAGGTAAAGTAGGAGCTGGCAGCTCAACAGTTGGAGTAGCTTCTGAAATAATAAAAATAAAGTGATTATTGACTACCGTATTATATTTACCTTTAGAAGATGAAGTATGAACTGATGATGTAGTAGCCTCTCCACTACTAGTAAGATTAAATTCTTTTGTTATTTCATCAGCTAGAGCTGGATCAGCTCCTCCACTATTACTTTTAATGGAGTTACACAGCATTCTTAATGTAGGGACACCATGACTCTTATAGTCATAGTTCCTACTTAACCAGCAATCAAACACTTTCTGCAGACAGCCTCTGGCCGTCTTTGACTCTGATTCAATCTCATATAACTTCTTGTAGCTGATTCCCAGCAAAATAGCTACAGAGTCCCAGCGTCCTGAAAGAACACCAGCTTTTTCCCATACCAGTCGAAAATCCCTAATATCTATCATTAATTAATAATACTAATAAAACAATTATTATTATGAATATCTACTCACTAAGTTCTCTGTCAAAGGCTCTTTTCAGCTCCTCTGGTTTGGTTGACATTTCCCTTTAGTTTGGAATGCAACCACAGAGACTCCCACTGAATTTGATTTCCTGTTTATTTTTAATAATGCTATAAAAACACTGTACACTACTGCAGTAGTCAGTGCAGTAAGCTCCAGTCTACATAGTACATGATGGAGAGGCCAACTGAAGCAGTAGATCCAACCAATTCACTACTTGTATTTACTAGTAATATATCTTCTACTCCTCCACCAATTATGATGACTGCAGCATCTTCTGTGAGTCTACCATTACAAGAAGAATATTTGTTTGTAGCTGAACAAGAGAGTAACTATAACAATGAACTATCTCTTTTATGTCTTTAACATACAATTAATATTAACAATATTTATTATTATCTGTTTTGAGCTCAATGTATGACATTTTGTCATTTGTATATTACATTATTTTGGAGTGCACCATAATCTATTACAGCATGCATGGAGTCACTCATAGCAACAAAAACACTCAAATCAATATCAAATGGAGTCTTCATTATCTCATCTCTCATAACTTGACCATGTTCACTCTCACATTATAAACCTGATAATCATTTGCAGTATAATCATAATGACAATTATTGTTCAGTTACTGTTTCCAGATAGTTATTTCTTTTCTTGATCAATGATTGTACAAATAGCTGAGTTCTTTTCTTTCTCTCAGCAGCATAATGACTAATGAGTTCTTCTAGTACTGCTTCTGATAGTTCGCCTTCTCCTCCTCCTCCTTCTCTTTCTTTATAATATTGTACTAATGCACAGTCTCTGTCTGATTTATACTGCTTGTCCTTCCTCTCAATGTACATGTACTCTCTTGCTACCTACTCATGTAGTATAAGGTAAAGTGTAATACATTTATACATTATTAAGCAACTAATTTTTCAGTTATACACCTCAATTAATAGAATGTTGAAGAGAAGCTGGTCTTCAATACAATGGGAGAGGCAGCAATATTTAGTAATGGAGTGCTGAGATGGAACACAGCAACCTTCTCCAAGTGGGCTGAAGAATACTTACCAGCAATACAGGAAGCTATGTAGGATTGCATTCTTTACAATAATCATACATTCCATTGTGTATGGTGTTATAATACGTGTGTATGTACGTGTAGGCAATCAATTGACTTCCCTGATAAAGCCTTTCAAGCATATTCTCAATATATTTCTAATGAGAAGGTATGTTACTCTAATGATGCACACAAATGCATACATGGCAAACAGATACTTGGCTCCATTTCTCAATTATGCTTCATGCATAGCTATCATAGACAATACACACAAGCTTAATTATTCTTTACCACTGCCTCTCTTTCTTTCTGTATTCATGGAATTTAGTCATGCTGGCAAGCCTCTTGGTCAAATCTCATTTGATGTAAGACAGACATGCACATAACTGGCTATACATATTATAGTAATTATGATACATATACATGTACGTTATGTAAGTGTGACTATGATGCATGTGTGTACATATACTTAGGTTGGTAGTATAATACCATCATGAGATCCATCAACCAGTGACTGTATAGTATCAGTAATCTCATATCTTGATGCATAAGAGAAACACACATTAAGATGTACCCTATAATAAAGGAATGGACAATATATAATAATAAATACATACATGTACTTGTAGTATGATGCGTGGGCAGATCAAAGGCACCGCCAGTGCTACAACTTCAATAATGAGCGTGGTATGAAAATGTAGCACTGTTGGAATATGTAGTACTGCACAGTATCTGATGTATGGGCTTTCCTGTTAACCAAAAGCTTTGCTCGAG